TATTCGCTATTGTATTTACTATATGCGCTATTGTATTTACTATATGCGCTATTGTATTTACTATATGCGCTATTGTATTTACTATATGCGCTATTGTATTTACTATATGCGCTATTGTATTTACATGTGGAGTATCCATAGGTCAAGAGACTGCCCACATTCCTGTCATTCAACTCTATTTTATTCAATAATCAAAATAGTATATTTGTTTTACAATATTCGTAATGTTATTTTACTTAGGATAGTAGATTTACGAGACGATTAAGTAATAGGAAGCTCCTTACAGCGGTAACGTTATCTAACGCTATGTGACGTAATATACTTCAATATGCATTGATTTTTTTTTTTAAATCTGTCAGTTCCCAGTTTAGATGACGACAAGAAACTTTTGTTTCTGATCGCTGCTGCCGTCGGCGGAGTTTTACTTTTTATCATCATAACCGCTATCGTCTCGTTTGCTCTATCAAGAAGAAGGTAATATTCTTCGTCACATTTTTGTATGTGGATAACCAGTTATTTCAAGTTTCAAGAAGATGAAGGGAAAACTGACTGAAATGAATAACATGTTTGATGTGATAATTTCTTTCAGGAGAACTCGGAACCGAGCCAATACATTCGAAGACGGTCAGTGGAAAGAGCATTTCGCTCTCGAGTTTAAATTTACTCAGCAGTTGCTCCCTTCGTAACTGCTGCATTTTTATTTGTTTGTTTGTTTCTCTATGATTTTTTATCTTAGCTCTCCATGACATTAGTTTGTTCTCAACAACATAATAATTTGACTATTTTCGTTTGCAGCCACCGAGCTCTTCTCGAACCATGGGCTTTGTCAGTATGTGGATCCCAGTAACTATGGTGATCCCATGGAAGCTGTCAAAACGTTTGCCGCCGAGATTGACAGATGTCTAATCAAACTGGAAAGTAGAGTCGGCGGTGGTAAGCATCTACTGAAAATTACCTTTTTGTCTTGTTAAGAAAAAAAAAAATTCTTTATCCTGAACCTTTAACTTACGTTTAATTGATCCTCAGGTGAATTTGCTGAAGTTTTCAAAGGACTGCATGAAGATTGTTCGGTTGCTGTTAAAATCCTAAAGGTGAGTGTGCTATTCTGATCTCTTTCTTTTTTTTTTTTCATTTCCCTGGTCGCTAGGATGAGAGTTGAGTTACCTTGCCTTGTAATTCTAATCGTTCTGGTTACAGTTGGACTTGAATTTCAATCAATCATAACCATGCTGTACGTGTTAACAAGTACAATTAAATTCAAGGGCTGTTTCTCTCGTATTCTGTCAGTTACCTTAGAGTGCCCCGTTACATTTCAGTTGTTTTGTGCGATCTTAACACTAAGATTTTCAGTTTTTTGTGATCTTAGCACTAAGGGAAAAACAACCAGCGTTTTTCTTTCCTTTATTTTATCAGCAAGGATCGAGTTCCAAGAACAGAGACGACTTTATATCTGAGGCGTCCATCATGGGTCAGTTTAAAAATCCAAATGTCATCCAGCTGATTGGCGTGGTCACAGTCAGTAAGTGAACTTCATGTAAGCGATGTTAGGTAACAGTACAGTTGGCAAGTTCCTTCCTTAACAGGTGAATTGTTTTTGGTTTTTCCTGTCAGGTAGACCCATGATGATTGTAACAGAGTTTATGGAGGGAGGATCGCTCGATAAGTTTCTAAAGGTAGAATGCTTTGATCATTACATTCGTAATCATAAAAATTACAATTTCCTGGATTATGATTGGTTTATTGAACTCCTATTTTCCACTAATTCACTTGCCAAATTGTTATCAGACAGTTTGTTTTCGGTCAGATGAATAAAAGAGGGTAAGTTTCTAAAGAAACTTTGGTGCTGCGTCGGTGGGGGTAATAAGGTTAATTGGTTTTATCAACTGAGTTGATGATGTCTACCGTAAAGAGTTTAGAAGCTGACGTTTCGATCGTTGTCCCTTCGTCGTTTCGCTCTGACAAAGGGCTAACGCTCGAAACGTCAGTTTTAAGACTTTTTACGGTGGCCAATTTACATTATCAACTCAGCTGACAAAACCAAATAACCTTGTTATCGGACAGTTTGTTATGGGATGGTTCAATAAGCCAATCATATTCAAAGTTGTGATTTAAATCACCCAATCACATTCAAAGTTGTAAGTTGAATTAACCAATCACAACCTGGTTTCTTTGAATGCAAATTTTCCCTTTCTTTCACGTTCTTCTCTTCTCGAAAATTGTAACATTTTTGATTAATTGGTGATAAAACCTCGTGTCGTTCAATTTGGTCTGTAATCATACTCGTGATAATCAAATATGACTCCTGCTGCGCGGTCGTTAGATTTTGTTATCACTTGTTTGATTACAGACCGAATTGGACTCCACTCAGTCCTATTGCCATCACTTACTGGGAGAGTTTTGGTGTTTTGACAAATACGAGGATTTACGGCTATAATTTTTTTTTTTGTTTGTTGTTGGAGAATATTATCTTTTACCTTTAAAGCCAAATTTACCTTTAAAGTCCACCTCAGTCACTTCCCGACATTCACTTTTCGTTGGAATCTCAACAGTGGACCAAAAAACGATGTGTCTTGTCTCAGCGCTTCAAAAGTATGCCAGGGTTGTACCCCAAGAGATGATCATTTCTTCTTTTTTTCGCTTCCTAGGATCATGAAGATAAACTCACAGCCCTTCAGCTCGTGGGCATGGTTCGCGGAGTCGCCTCAGGAATGTTGTATCTTTCTTCCATGAATTTTATACACAGGGTAAGGAGTTCACTTGCCCAGGATAGAATGAATCGAACCGTATTGCAAGTTCTTTTTACAGGAAAATAACCATACATTAAGTTTGACTTATACGGTTCCATTGCTTGGATGGGTAAGGGTAGCTTTGTATATTAATACCTCTATTAAAATCTCGATAGAACAGATAATCAAATCAGACGGGTTTAACGTATCAAAGTTTGAGGCCAGTTTATTTTATTTGTATAATTCCGATTTCAGGACCTTGCTGCTCGTAATGTTTTGGTTGGTAATAACATGGTTTGCAAGGTGTCTGACTTCGGACTGTCCAGAGAGTTGGAGGATAACCCAGATTCCGAGTATCAGACACAGGTAATATACCAGTTAAATTTTGCTTAGACACTTACGTAGATTTGATCAGCCGCTACTGAAGTTGTTTTGTGACCCTTTCACTGCAGTATAAGTAGAGAAATGACACAGGATTTTGCCTTGTCACAGGGAGGAAAAATTCCAATTCGTTGGACAGCACCAGAAGCGATGAGATATCGAAAATTTAGCACTTCCAGTGACGTATGGAGCTATGGGATAGTTTTGTGGGAGGCCATGTCGTTTGGCGAGAGGCCATACTGGGACTGGAGTAACTTTGAGGTAATGAAGCTTATCTTTACCTTTATAGCTGTTTACTTTTTCATACATTTGCAAAAGGAATTTAAGGTTTTTGCGAAATTTATTATTACACAGATTAGGAAATAGATTTAACGGAAAAAGAGAAAAGAGTGTGAAACTGGTTTGAAAATTTTTAAGCAAGAGAAAAGCTGAACCAGCAGGCAGCTGTTATAGACCAAACAATACCGCTTTTTTGTAGTGAGTTAAAAAAAGTGATGAAATTTGTCTGGGTTTTCTTTGTGTGTTAGGTTTTAGATTTTGTTTTGTTTGTTTTTACTTGTGTTCACGACGTTCAGTCCCTTTGTTTGGCGTCTTATTAATGTGAAAGAAAATGAGCTGTCGAAAATCTTTTTTATCGAGGAAAAAAGTTGGACATACATACCTATATAGTGAACTTCATACATACATACCTGTAATAAAAAAATCCTTCCTCTTGTAAGTATCACGCAGGGGAAAAAAACGACACCAGAACAAAGGATCAACCCTTTGACTAAGCTATTCGTGTTTTACTATAACAGGTTATGGACAGAGTAGAAGGAGGCTACAGGCTGCCTGCTCCTATGGTATGTAGGAAACTTCTGTCATGTTAATTTGATTTAAGTCGAGGAAGAGGTACAGAGGTGAGTTGTACGGATATACTCTATGACTTGATTGTCATCACTAGCCGTAATAACCTCTAATGCTTGGTTGAAGAAGAAAGAAAAGCACCCTGCTCGAACTGATCAATTGTCTGTTTGTTTCGCATGTGCGTTGTTTTTTAATGGCATGTATAAGTACATGAATGATTAAATGAAATGATGTTTTTCTATTTTGTTTAGAAATGTCCTAAAATTGTCTACGGAATCATGATGGACTGTTGGGACAGGGACAGGACCAGGCGACCAAACTTTGAAGAAATTGTGAAACGACTCAACGAGTTGATCCGCTCTCCGGAAATGTTAAACGACAATCTTGTTTGCTATACAAGGTAGCACCTTACTTTATGAAGGAAGGGGTGATAAAACCTGGTTTAGGTGTTGTAGTTCGCTTTGCCTATGTTATGGTTCTCTCAACTCCAGGTTTCTCAGAAATGATAACTTTTTTGGAAATGAGGTGGGGGGGGGGGTGGGGACCGGATTGAACTATTTCATTTTGTTACATGTTATCACAAGAAGAATTTTGTGTGGCTCTGTGAATTAAAGTGCTCTGAAGCGAACATTTTGTGTCGTATGCTGTAAGGTTAAGAATGATGGGTACCTGTCCGTTGTATAAGATTGCCTTTTTCCATAACATTTTCACGACTACGTAAACTAACTTTAGCCAAAATATATTTTAATTGCTCAGTGCCGTGTCAGCGGACTTCACCAAGCTTAGTACGATCCAAGAATGGCTTGTCAGTATTCATATGGGACAGTATATCGCTAACTTCAAGACTGCGGGCTATAGTGACTTAACGCAAGTAACTCACCTTAAGGACGGCGAACTCAAAGACATTGGAGTGACCTTGATAGGTCATAGAAACAAAATTTATAAAAGTATAAAGTCCATGAGGAAGCATTTTGACAACTTGCCGGAGCCGGTGTAACATGTCACAGACCGTAAAAAGTTGAGAAACTTTCCGAGGGGTTGAGGTGCTGGACCTGTAGACCTCACCGTGGATATCGAAAGTGGATGTAGAAGGCGCCACAGTAACCCCACACTCAGTGTGTTCACGATTCTCTGAGGGAAAGAGAGCAAGTCCATTATTTAAACAGATCTAGTTGTAAACTGATTTTAAAGTGTTGCGAAATTTCTTGCGGTAACACAGCAATTTATTTTATTCGACTTATTCAGTTTGTCCACGCAATACTCGCGTAGAGGGTTTCCTAGGATAATTCGCGAACCTAGTATTGTAGGAAATTAGTGGATATTCCACTCTAAATCCCTCTTTTCTCTTTTTTTCATTCACTTTTCTCCAAGAACAATAAGAAAGAGTAAAAGGAACACCATGAAGCCCATGAAAATAAGAATTGAGATGTATTGCCATCATTCAGATCAATCTTCAGTCCTGTCAGCTTGTTTTTTTTTTTATTCCTTTCTTTATTTTCCTTTCTATTATTTTTTTAATGGCTGATTGACTCGTACCCAGCTGACTTTGTCTTAGACCTTTAAATAGCTTTTGTAGTGTAAGGATTTTAAAATGCTTCTTACAGGCTTGGCTTGGGAAATAGAGCAGCTAGCGCTTGGTAGAAAGCTCTAGAGCAATGACCATTGGAGATGTTTAGTTGTGTAGTTTTAATATCAGAAGTATTTTGAGTTTATTTGTTTTATTAGTCGTTGTTTTTGATATCGTCAAGTGACGTTTAGGAGAAAGTATTCAGGGCCGCTTGTTGAAACGCAGTTTGGTCGTTGTTTAGTAAAACTGTGTCCTATATCATCTTCAATTTAGCCAAACCCTTATCTGAGATGAATGTTGTTTTTTCTGAGCAGCGTCAAGAAGGCTCGGCTTATAAAATTAACATCAATCCCCTTGAAGAAACTCGATGGTCAGAGTTTGCTCCAATCTGAGGCCGAAGTAAGACTTCAGCGTTCGAGTAAATGGCCCTTCATATTTGGTTTTACCCAGAAATTTTACTTAAAATTGTGACCAGTGCGCCTGAGAGATGTTTTAGTTTATTGGTGTACAGTTTTATTTACACGAGCGTATGTGTTTAGTATCGTTTTCTTTGCCTTATATTTATACGAAACATCCAGCCATTAGATGAAATGGTTATTTGAAATATTTTGCTTTCGAAATGTCGGTGTCTAACATGTGAAGAGATATTTAAAAAAAAATATATATATTTTTTAGAGCTTTGCAAGTGTTGAAGTCTTAAGTTATCTTGTTTTATTGACTATCCCCACACTTGTTGAAATAAAACAGTTCGATTCACCTCGTTTTGCCAGTTTGTTTTTGTTACCATAACTTCTCATATCTCGACGCTTGGATATTCTGCGAGTTGTGAAGTATTTTAAGAGTTGAGGGCAAAATGCTTGCGTGAATTTAACGGGAAACCCTCGGAAAAGTGAATTATTTTGGCTTCTTACTCCTGGTAATGGTGTTAAAGTTTGCTTTGTGTTCGCAGTCTACACAGTATGGTACGCTTATATTCTGTTTCCACAATCACTGATAGTTAAGCACCAAGGCCACAGAACAAATAAAATTATGTCGGTGTAGTCTTACCAATATTTGTTCCATTTTTTGTCTTAACGTGCATGTTCGCTCTGTTTCTGTCTGGTCTAACACTCCCACGACTTACAGTATCGGATTTTGCGCGATCTCTTCACCTTATTTGGTAATTAAAATGAAATGACTTAATGGTGGATTAATATTATCTTTTAGCTTTGTTTTTGTGCTTTTAGGTTGAGACAATCTGCGGCCGATATTGCCTGGCAAATGATTTTTCCTTCGCTTTCTTCTGTTATTTTCTGTTACTTTATTATTTTCACCTTGTTTGTGGGATACGGGCTTAGTTCAAAACAAAATTGAGAACATGACATTTCAAACATGCATTACTCTTTTATTTATCCATCAGTCAATACAATTTTTCATTTCCTTTGAACTTTTTTTGTTTCCTTTTAACTCTGTCATTTCAAATATCATTTCCTTAAAGTACTTAAAAATAAATCAACTCCATGAAATACGATTGTCAAAGTGTTTTAATGGTGTACTAATGCACTCATCGGGTAGAGTAACCGGTGCTAAATATGAGTGGAACAAAACTTAATCATTCTGCTTGTCACAAGTGCTGTATCAAGCGCCGCTCAATACCACGCACTTCGATATAATTCCCAGAAGGAAATCTATTATCTTGGCGTGCATCATCAACCGCCTACCACGTTCAATTAAGTATACAAGGAAGAACAAAAGCAACAGTCGAACACAAATTCATATGTCAGGATATCTAAGCTGATATTAAACCTATACACGTGTATCATTTCAGCTGACGCTGTAGCTCGCTTCCCTTTACGTAACGCGTGAAACTAAACAACTCAAGAACACCGGCTGCATTTTGCTTCCTCAACGACAAACCAGTCCTTTAAAAACTCTCCAACCGCGCTTAAAAAGGCGTTGCGTGCTTTGCTTCTTAGATCCAAATAGGTGTTCTTAAAATAGCGTTTTCTATCGTGGACTTTCATAATAGATCTTATCTCTCACAGCTTGCATCGCCGAGTGAAAACCACACGACATATTGGAGAGCGAATAAACATCGGTCGGTGAGGTAAATTGTGCGGTTAAAGAACACTAGCATTGGAGGAGATGAAAAGGCGATGAGCGGTAGAGATCCACAGTAGGATTGTCTCTAAACAGACTCAAGGTCATACTACTGAGAAGAAAGCAAATTAATTTTCATCGTGTTTTAAGAGTTCTCCCTTGTCAGGTAAGTTTGCCTACTGCGCCACGTTAGAAAGTGCCACTTGTTTCTTAAGGAAGATACCGCCTCTAGCAACCAGAATCGCCACTAATGTAAAACTAAACGTCTCTAGGACAGAATTTGTTAGTGACAATTTGTACACGTAGAGATTTCATAACAGTTACTATAACAGCTAAAAAAATATTAAAAGGATCAAAGACAAAAAAAGTTAAACGAATTAGGAACAGAATTTTGATTCTGAAATAAAGCCTTATAGTTAAATCGAAGCCTTCTTTACCCAAGAAAACAAAGTGCATTTATCTCATAAGCGTATCGGGATTTTGAAACATTATTATGATTTTGCTCTTCTTGCCATCCAACGGGTTCTAAATCGCGGTAGAGATATTTCCCTTGTCTAGTAAGTTTGACTAAGGCGCCACGTTTGAAAGGCCATATTGTTTGTTAAGGAAGATATCGCTTCTACCAACCAGAAACGCCGCTAACGTACCACAATTTGTTAGTAACAATTGCACGCGTAGAGATCCCATAACGGTTACACTTACAACTAAAAAAAAAATATGAAAAGAATCAAAGAAAAAAAAAAACTAAAACGAAGACCAGAATTTTAATTATGAAATTATCGGTCTTTTGTTATATATTTCTAAACATTCTTCACACAGCAAAGCAAAGTGTACCTATCTCATAGGTGCATGTGGTTTTGAAACATTACAATTTTGCTATTGTTGCCTTCTAACGGGTTCTAAATCGCGGTAGAGATATGATTTAAACTAAAGAAGTGACAAAGAAACGTTAACAGTCGTTAGTGATATCATGTTTTTCAATGGGTTGGGATTTGCATTAGTGAAGCGCCTAAACAAAGCTGAAATCGCTTGAATCCACCGGGTTCGGAAAAGGGAGGTAGCTTAAAGTTGCTTCCTTCATTATCGAAAAGTATTTGCATAAAAGAATGGCGATTTTGATAGTCATATATTTTATGCTTCTTCTACTTCGAATTCTAGAAACAAAGCCCTGAGATCATTTTGCCATGTGTTTTGTCTGATATGACACACAATATCAAACGAAACTATTCACACCATGACATTACCTCCAGTGAAATGATAACTGAAAAATTTTCCTGTTTTGAAAAGAACGGTTTTGAAAAATATCTTCTTTTAAGTGACCTCGTGTCGAGAACGTAATGTAAGACTGTATTGGTCACTTTGTTATAGGAGACTTTGATTTAGTTGACGTCATAATAAGTAGTTTTATTTTCGAGTATTCCGCCCATTCCGTCATATCAAGTGTATTGTACACTAAGTAAGGTGGTACTTTCACCACATTCAAACAGCAATAACCTATAAATTGTTCGTGTTTACAGACAGCTTGATATTGCATCGTCATGTTGATCGATGGTTCAATAAATAACCCAGCCTTTGGCACCGAGATTACATTCGATTACCTTTGATTTCACATCCTTTTATTAACTTTCGATCACAACTTTACATTTTGAGTATTCACATTTTTTTGAGGTATTCCTATCTGGCCAACTGTTGTATATGAAGAGCCGCAATTGATCAGCCTTAGCCAAATTCTAAATATTTTAATATATAAGAAGGCTTACAAATTACAATGATTCAAACGGAATGGCCGTTATGATTTGGCATAGAGGTTGTTTTCATCAAAGGAGGGGAAAACACGTGCGAAGGACATTTTAAACAGCTACACTACTCGAAAAGCATGAGGGAAGTTTAAATCGTGGTTAAAGACTTCTTTAGCTAGTATACTTTGTTTTTCCAATGGAGGTCTCAAGGGAATTTCCTTCTTTGTCTTTTGCAAATTATGTAAATAGACTACATTTAAAAAAAGAAGTCTTGTCAGTTCAGCTAAGTGTTTCCGCACGACCTACGTTTGGAAAGCAAAATGTACAAGGTAAAGAAGTCAAACATCTCTGTGAGTGCTGATATTCAGCACCGGATATTCAGCTTTCATTCGAAATAAGAATAGCAGTGTTTTCAGTGATGTTGTTTATTCTTGTCTTCAGATGTGCATGGATCATTTAATCGCACTCATTGGACTATTCATCATTATTCCATGTCACATTAATGGACAAACAGATTCGACAAGTCCAACAGCCAATGCTGTTACTACTAAAGCACCGTACACCGGATGCAAAACTTCAGAAACACAGTCGCCTCCCTCCGCTTATTGTAATGTATATTGTGGCGATGAAATACCCAACGTGATCGGACAAGTTTGCCGCAGTCGCAAAAAGCGATCAAAGACAGGTATCACGTTCATTCCTTTGCAGCAGCAAAATTAAGGGATAGGATTTACATAAATTTCATTCCGTCTTCTTAAATGCTGTTATAAACTGTTCTGCGTCAAGACTCCATATCGATCCAATGGTTAGATCATTGAGAAAAGGGAGAATTGGTCAGTCCTTAAGTCGTTAAATACTTCATAATTCAATATGTTGTTCATGGAGTAAACGTGTTATCTGATACTTTTTTTTGTTCTGGATTCATAATCCAATTCGGAGAATAAGCCCATCGAATAACTTGCTTCAAAATATTTGTTTATTTTTTTCAGGTCTAACTTTGAGTGACATCAGCATAAAAAAGGACGAGGCGTCAAAGTTTCTGTACTTACCTCGCAACCGGATCCTCACAAAGAGATCACAAACTGACATTGTCGTCGAATGTTGCGACGAGAAGTGTGTTGTAGAGGAGATATTAGAATACTGTTAATACATGTAGCAAACGGGTGGAGAATTAATAAAGGCCACATAATACACAATGTGATCCTGCTATATTGATCAGACACCAAAGGGAGGCAATTAGTGATCTGTGACAGGGACTGTTTCTCCTCTCTTATTTAATCTTACAAATGTTACGTTACGGGTCGAGTGATTTGATCCAAATCGAAAAAAGTATTAGAATTGTGAAGGATAATTTGCGTTAAAGCTTTGCTAAATCCATACCTGAAAGTAAGCAGACAAACAAACAAACAAACAAAAACAGATTGAGGGAGGCTGTGTCTTAGTTGCCGAAGCTTGCGTATGAAAGGGAATAATAGTATACATTCAAAATGGCTTTTTAAAGCTCGAAAGAACCTAAAAACCATGTAAGCGCTATACCAGGGCGGCAGGTTGTGCACATGTCGGGAGCCTGGCTCTGGTTTCACCAGGAACGCCATATCCCTGAATGGGATGTATTAATTTTTTCATATGACACCGAAGACCTCTACTAACAAGAAAATTCGAGAAACGACCTTGCATTGAGAATGGTAAACACTTTGCCATTCATTCATCAACCTGACAGAGTGGCGTGAGAGACGAGTAACGTGCCAGCAGCTGATTGGCAACATAGAATAAACGTAAACAATTCTCTCAGTTTTACACGTGTGCAGTCATGGCTCTCCTCCAGTGTATGTGATTAACTTTAATACATATCACAAGAAACAGTGCCTCGTTAGTAAATAGTACTAGGGACCTTAAGCAACCACGACGGCGAAGGCAACGAGGACGTGGAAAAACAAGAGATCTAATTGGCAGAAGAATAGCTCAGCACGTGCATTATGAAACTTGTACATTTCTTAGCCGTCCTATGCAAAACAACAACGTGAATTCGCCAAAATTTGCGTCGTCTGCGAACCGAATCCGCGACGGCAAATTATTTTAATTTCCATTTGGAACTCAACACTACTTTTATAGGTCATGCTGAAGTTGAGCTGTGGCGCCGTATGAGACAGTAAGCTCATGCAGCCACTTTTGAAATTCTAACTAAGAGTAGAAATTAATTTTTTAATCGAAGTCTTCCTTGGCGTTGCCGACCTGACTGCTTAAGGTCCCTAGTATCGTACCACACATATACATTAGGGACCTTAAGCAGTCAGAACGGCAACGCCAAGGAAGACTTCGGTTAAAAAATGAGTTTCCACTCTTAGTCAGAGTTTCAAAAATGGCTGCATGAACTTGCTGTCTCATACGGTGCCACAGCTCAACTTCAGCATGACGTATAGAAGTAGCGTTGAGTTCCAAATGGAAATTAAATTAATTTGCCGTCGTTGTTTCGGTTCGCAGACGACGCAAATTTTGGCGATTTCACGTTGTTGTTTTGCATAGGACGGCTAAGAAATGTACAAAGTTTCAAAACGCACGTGCTGAGCTATTGTTCTGCCAATTAGATCTCTTGTTTTTCCACGTCCTCGTTGCCGT